TACTGTTGGAGATGAGGAAGGAAATCATAGGGCCACTGACTCAAATTTTTAATAGTTCTGTGGCCACAGCAGAGGTGCCAGAGGACTGGAGGACAGCTAACGTGGTTCCACTTTACAAGAAGGGAGATAGAGATAGAGAGAGACCAGGGAACTACATGGCAGTGAATCTCTCATCAATAGTAGGGAATCTTTTGGAGAAAATTAATCTCTATTTAAAGAGGCAAGGTTTGATCAATGGTAGTCAGCATGGTTTTGTCAGAGAGAGGTCATGCCAAACAAATCTGCTTTAATTTTTTGAGGATTTGACCAAGTGTGCGGATGAGGGAAGCACAGTTGATGTCGTTTATATGCACTTCAGTAATGTCTTCAACAAGTGGAAGACTGACAAAGAAGGTAAAGGCATGTGGGGTCCAGAGTAACGTGGCAAGTTGGATCCAAAATTGGCTCAGTGACAAGAAACAGAGGGTGGTGGTAGAAGGCTGTTTGTGTGACTGGAGGCAAGTGTTCAGTGGGTCAGTTTTGGGTCCTTTGTTGCTTGTGATATAAATAAACAGTGTCAATGAGAAGGTAGAGGGGGTGATAGTAAGTTTGTGGATGACATGAACATTGATTGGGTGGTTGATAATGAGGAAAAAGCTCTTCATTACAGAAGGACATGTACAGATTGGTAAAATGGGTAGGTCTGTGGCAGATGTAATTTAAGGTAAATGTGAGGTGATGCAATTCAGTAGAAGGAATAGGACAAGCATATACTCAACAAGTGGCAGGACACTAGGAAGCTCAGAAGAATAGGAGGGACTTTTTGTTTCTTGTCCACCAATCCATGTTGGCTGCAGAGCAGGCTAATAGAGTTGTTAAGAAGGCATACAGAACATTTGCCTTCATCAGTTGAGGCATGGATTATAAATCAAGGAGATTATACTGGAGCTGTAAAAGACTTTAGTGAGGCCACATCTGGAAAAGTGTATGCAGTCCTGTTCTCCACACTATAGGAAGGATGTGATTGCACTGGATAGGTGCAGAGGAGATTCAGAGTATGATGTGTAGATGGAGCATCTTGGCTATGAAGAGAGTCTAAATAAGCTCAGTTGTTTTCTTTGGAACAGAGAAGTTTAAGAGAGGACCTGATAGAGGTGTATTAGATTATGAGGTGCACAGACAGAAAGCTAGGAGGTGGATAGAAAGTTGCTGTCCCCACTTGTCAAAGGGACAATAATAAAATGGTACACTTTTAAGGTGAAAGGCAGGATGTTCAGGGGCATGTGTCGAAACGTTTTTCACCTAGAAGGGTGTAGAGGTTTGGAGTACACTGCCTGGGAGGGTAGTTGAGCTGGGTAACATGACAACCTGTAAAATTTAGTTGGACAAGCAATTGAAATGTCATAACATTGAAGGCCATGGACCTACCTCTAGAGCGGGACTAGTGTATATTTAGTGTATTTTGGCACTGCAGACTCAATAGGCTAAAGGGATCTTCTGTACTGAATAATTCGATTATAAAATCTGCACGGAAATTACAAAGAGATGCCAGCATTATAGAATAAATAAAATGGGAGACCTCAATTATCTAGATATAAACTAGGATACTCGAGTGTAAGGGCAACGAAGGACAACCACTTCTAGATTGTGTTCTGAAGAATTTTTTGCAGCAGTATGTTTTATGTCCAAAAGGAAACAATGTATTTTTGGACCTTGTTCTTGGAAATGGGGTGGGCCAAGTGGATCAAGATTCAGTGGGAACATTTAGGAGACACAAATCATTGTATTGTAAGGTTCAGGATGATGGCGAGAATGACAGTGGTCAATCCTGAGTAAGAAAATTCAATTGGTGGAAAGTAGACTTCAGTGGGGCAAGAACAGAGCTGAGATTGACAGACTGGAATGAAAAGATGATGAGAAAAACTGTGACTAAGCAATTGGCTACCCTCAGAAGAGATGTTCAAGTATATGGTCAAGATTATTTCCTCAAAAGGGAAAGGTAGGACAAACTAATCCAGAGCTCCCTGATGACAACGAAGATGGAAATTAAGACAATAAAGAAAATGTGTGCTATCACAGCTGTCAGGTAGAAAATCTAATTGGTAAGTTAGAGGAATATGGGAAGCTCAGAGGAGGACAAAAGAGAAATAGGGAAAGAAAATAGAAATTCTGAGAAGAAACTAACAGCCACATCGGGGAATCTCAAAGGTTTTTATAGGCATATAAGTGGTAAAATGCTGATTTAAAGAAGAGTATGGTGTTCACAGACCCAATAGAAAATTTTCACGTGGCAGGAGGGCATGACTAAAGTGTTAAACGAGCACTTTGCATCTGACCTTAGCAAGGAGCTAGATGCCACTCAGGCCATAGGAATACAGGAGGAAATTGTATCACTAGAAGGGCTAAAAATGTGTAAGGAAGGTCGGTTGGATAGACTGTGGATATTTTAAGTTGACAAGTCACTGGAACTGGATGAAATGCAAATACATTAGAGGCATTTAAGGGACTTTTAGATGAGCACATGAAATGCAAGGAATGGAGGGATATGGACCAAAGCAGGCAGAAGGGATTAGTTTAACTTGGTGCCATGTTCAGCATAACATTCTATGTTCTGTGTTCATATGATAACCTGAGTTTTATTAATAGTGTTCAAAAGCAAGGAGGTTATGCTGAACTTGTTTGACATCAGCTGGAGTATTGTATCCACACTATACAAAAGATTGGAGTGCATTGAAGAGATTGCAGAAGAGATTACAAGAATAGTTCCAAGGATGAGAAGTTTCAGATATGAGGACAAATTGGAAAATTCTCCTTCAAGAAAAGTCTAAAAGATCCAATAGAAGTTTTCAAAATCATGAGTGGACAAGATAGAGAAGAAATTACCTGCTTGTAAAGGATAACGAATGAGAGGGCACAGATTTAAAGTGATTTGCAAAAGAAGCAGATATAATGTGAGAAAAAGCTTTTATTCACAAATGTTTTGAGTCTAAATATACTGCCTGGAGGTATGATGGAGGCAGGTTCAATCAAGGTATTCAGGAGGGTATTAAATGATTATTTAAATAGAAACAATGTGTAATGAGGGTGACATTAAGCCTGCTCCTGCCCCACCGAACTTATCGCCACCTATCTCGACTCCATTTTCTCCCCCTTGGTCCAGGAACTCTCTACCTACGTCCGTGACACCACCTACGCCCTCCTCCTCCTCCAGAACTTCCAATTCCCCGGTCCCCAACACCTCATCTTTACCATGGACATCCAGTCCCTATACACCTGCATTCCCCGTACAGATGGCCTAAAGGCCCTTCACTTCTTCCTGTCCCGCAGGCCCGACCAGTCCCCCTCCACTAACACCCTCATCCGCTTAGCCGAACTCGTCCTCACCCTCAACAACTTCTCTTTCAATTCCTCCCACTTCCTACAGACAAAGGGGGTGGCCATGGGTACCCGCATGGGCCCAAGCTATGCCTGCCTCTTTGTAGGTTAGATGGAACAATCCCTCTTCCGTACCTACACTGGCCCTAAACCCCACCTCTTCCTCCGTTACCTTGATGACTCCCACGAGGAGCTCGAACAGTTCATCCGCTTCACCACCTTCCACCCCAACCTTAAGTTCACCTGGACCATCTCTAATACCTCTCTCTCCTTCCTGGACCCCTCTGTCTCCATCTCTGGCAACCACCTAGAAACCGATATCCATTTCAAGCCCACCGACTCCCACAGCTACCTAGAATACACCTCCTCCCACCCACCTTCCTTCAAAAATGCCATCCCCTATTCCCAATTCCTTCGCCTCCGCCGCATCTGCTCCCAGGATGAGGCATTCCACTCCCGTACATCTCAGATGTCCTCATTTTCCAAGGACCGCAACCTCCCCCCCTCAGTGGTCGAGAACGCCCTCAACCGCGTCTCCCGCATTTCCCGCAACTCATCCCTCACACCCCTTCCCCGCAATAACAACCAAAACCGAATACCCCTCGTCCTCACGTACCACCCCACCAACCTCCGGATCCAACACATCATCCTCCGACACTTCCGCCATCTGCAATCCGACGACACCACCAAAGACATTTTTCCCTCCCCACCCTTATCTGCTTTCCGGAGGGACCACTCTCTCCGTGACTCCGTGACACTTGGGGACCGCTTTGCAGAACACCTCCGCTTGGTTCGCACTAAACAACTGCACCTCCCAGTCGTGAACCATTTCAACTCCCTCTCCCATTCCTCAGATGACATGTCCATCCTGGGCCTCCTGCAGTGCCACAACGATGCTACCCGAAGGTTGCAGGAACAGCAACTCTTATTCCACTTGGGAACCCCGCAGCCCAATGGTATCAGTGTGGACTTCACAAGCTTCAAAAGCTCGCCTCCCTCTACAGCATCCCAAAACCAGCCCAGCTCGTCCCTGCCTCCCTAACCTGTCCTTCATCCCACCTATCCCCTCCTCCCACCTCAAGACCCACCCCCATCTCCTACCTACTAACCTCATCCCACCCCCTTGACCTGTCTGTCCTCCCTGGACTGACCTATCTCCTCCCTATTTCCCCACCAACACTCACCTTTACTGGCTCCATCCCTGCCTCTTTGACCTGTCTGTCTCCTCTCCACCTATCTTCTCCTCTATCCATCTTCTATCCGCCTCCCCCTCTCTTCCTATTTATTTCAGAACCCCCTTCCCCTCCCCCTTTTCTGATGAAGGGTCTAGGCCCGAAACGTCAGCTTTCGTGCTCCTCTGATGTTGCTTGGCCTGCTGTGTTCATCCTGCTCTACACCTTGTTATCTCAGATTCTCCAGCATCTGCAGTTCCTACTATCTCTGACATTAAGTCATGATGCTTTTTTGGAGAGCCAGTGCAGATGCAATGGGCTTGAATGACTGTGTCCTATGACTTGATACTTTCTTGATTTTTGTGATACCTGCATGCTGTGTCCTGTCGATGGCAGAATTGAAACCAGTGCTGACAGCTTATATTAATTCTGTTTCTTGTGGTACTTTAACTACATTTTCCTGTATTTTCCTAGGTTTTCAGCTGCTTACAAATACTTTGCCGACAACAGCTGATCCTCCGACAAAGACAAAGCCCATTGTACGGCCATTCCACACGATTCCACAATCAGAGTTTGACATAACGGGAAAGAAACGATTTGTAGGTGTGTAGTCATTTTTAAATGTTTTGCTAATAGACTCAAAGCTCCCTCAGTTACTCAATATCATGCATTCTCATCTCAGTACCAAGGTTCGACCACATTCACTGAATTACGGGGATAGTAGGAACTGCAGATGCTGGTGAATCCGAGACGACAAGGTGCAGGGCTGGATGAACACAGCAGGTCAAGCAGCGTCATAGGAGCAGAGAGGCTGACGTTTCGGGCCTTGACCCTTCATCAGAAAAGGGGGAGGGGAAGGGGGTTCTGAAATAAATAGGGAGAGAGTGGGAGGCGGATAGAAGATGGATAGAGGAGAGGATAGGTGGAGAGGAAACAAACAGATCAAAGAGGCGGGGATGGGGCCAGTAAAGGTGAGTGTAGGTGGGGAGTTAGGGAGGGGATAGGTCAGTCCAGGGAGGACGGACAGGTCAAGGGGGCGGGATGAGGTTAGTCGGTAGGAGATGGAGGTGCGGCTTGAGGTGGGAGGAGGGGATAGGTGGGAGGAAGAACAGGTTAGGGAGGCAGGGATGAGCTGGACTGGTTTTGGGATGCGGTAGCGGGAGGGGAGATTTTGAAACTTGTGAAATCCACATTGATACCATTGGGCTGCGGGGTTCCCAAGCGGAATATGAGTTGCTGTTCCTGCAACCTTCGGGTAGCATCGTTGTGGCACTGCAGGAGGCCCAGGATGGACATGTCATCTGAGGAATGGGAGAGGGAGTTGAAATGGATTTCACAAGTTTCAAAATCTCCCCTCCCCCTACCGCATCCCAAAACCAGTCCAGCTTGTCCCTGCCTCCCTAACCTGTTCTTCCTCCCACCTATCCCCTCCTCCCACCTCAAGCCGCACCCCCATCTCCTACCGACTAACCTCATCCCGCCCCCTTGACCTGTCCGTCCTCCCTGGACTGACCTATCCCCTCCCTAACTCCCCACCTACACTCACCTTTACTGGCCCCATCCCCGCCTCTTCGACCTGTTTGTTTCCTCTCCACCTATCCTCTCCTCTATCCATCTTCTATCCGCCTCCCACTCTCTCCCTATTTATTTCAGAACCCCCTTCCCCTCCCCCTTTTCTGATGAAGGGTCAAGGCCCGAAACGTCAGCCTCTCTGCTCCTATGACGCTGCTTGACCTGCTGTGTTCATCCAGCCCTGCACCTTGTTGTCACTGAATTACTGTCAACCTTTGGTGTTTTTCTACCATGGTTAAGTATTATGGTCAGTTTGGTGCAATCTCAAATGGGAAATCCCCAAACTGTTAAGTTCCTGAGTGAGAACGAATGAACTGGCTCCCCTTTTCTATTCACCCACTCCCTTGGTCGGTTTCAAAAGATTAATGTAAGAAGGATCTCTTTCATTGGACCTACTTTTCTCCCAGATTCAAAATAACTTGTGCTTAAAAAGGAGCAATCTAACTAGTCTTTCTTGAATTTAACAAATAGAATGAGTTTATTAAGCTATGAATCTGATAGAAATTGTTGCTGTCTAAATCAAGATGGGCTGCTGAATTGAACAGATTTTGTGGCTTAATTTGATGCTTTCACATCACTTGAGGAGGGTAATTGAACTTGAGGCACTGCATACAGGTCCTCAGAGTTGGAATGCTGGCAGTCTCTAGCAGTCCTTTTGCTCCCTCCATAGTTTCAAAGTGGTTGCTGATGGATGAAAGGCCTGTTCTGTTATCTACATCACCAGGGTCTCTAATGCTGTTTCTCAGGCCATGCTTTCTGTTCTCTTATGCCATGTTTAGACTTCTTCCAAGTCAGACACTCTTCCCGAGCTACTTCTAATGCCTGCTCCAAGAACAGCCTGCCCTTCTGAAAGGTTCAGACTAATTTTAAGTTATGCAGGCTTTTTGTTTTGGTGCCAGCTATGAACTTTGAATCTCTGCTGAAGTGTGCAGCCATTCAGCAATACGTGCTGTTGTGGGTTAGCTGTACTTAATAATCTTTATGCCTGTTTTAGTTCCTCATCCAATTGTTGTGATGATGGAGTTCATGACACTGTAATCTATTGAACTTCACTCTACACCTCTGAAAAAGAAGCTTTTATCTGCCACTCAGCTTTAAAAAATTAAATAGATTAAACAGATCCCAATGGACCCTACTGCATTGCATAGATCAATATCCATGCTATAGTACTACAATGTTAAAAATGTAGAGATTTTAAAGATTCATTGTTGAGATGCGGTGGTCGTTCGCAAGGCCACCATTTATTGGTCATCCTTAGTTTCTTGTAAGAAAGTGGATAGTGAACCTCCATCCTGAACTTATTATACAGATGGCCCAACAATGCTGCTGGGTGAGGAGTTCCAGGATATAAGTATATCCCCGATTTCAACTTTCCATTGAAAGTCTCAACAACCCTTAACCATTTGAGGATGGTCCAAGGACAATATTGCTACTTGCTTAACAAGTGGAATGTGAGGAACAACTCAAGTTGTGACTGTGGTAATCCATGCGAGACCATCACCCACAAACTGAATTTCTGGTGGCATCACAGTCATTCACGTTCCATTAGCTGCAGTCCTTGAATGGATTGTTAACAGCAACAAACTATAACTGTTGCCCCAGCTATAAAAAGAGTATGTGAATTTTATATAAAGTTGCCCTTTATTCCTGATACTCACTACATTCCTTAAAAATACTCTCAGAAGTATGTTTTTCTCATCCAGACTGTGTTTTTACCAGAGAACATAAACCCATCAAGAGTTGACATTGATGTATCGTTATAAGGGTGCTGCTGAATAAAAAAGACATTGTCCAAGTTTTTCTGGATAGAATTTCAAGAATAAGAAATCAATTTGTTGTTCTTTTCGAGATTTGGTTTTCTTGCAATTTTGTCCTGATGAGTGCAAGATAAAAAGTTTCAACAGCATGACACTTCAGCATTGCTCAAGCTCTGTCTGCCAAGCAGCTAATTATGAGGGTATAGTCCTGAATACAGTTTAGTAAGCTTGTAAATCTGTAGTTTTCTATATGCAGTATTAGTCTTTTAATAGTGAGAAATGAAGTTGTCTAAATTCTTTCGATGCTTTGCCCTTTATAGCGGCTCATGTGAATTATATCAGCAAAGATCCAACAGCACCATGTTCGTTGACAGAAGCACTAGAGCACTTTCAAGTGGATTCACTGGTGGATATTATTCCAAAAGACTTGAAGGAGAAAACCCTACCTCCCGAGCAAGTTCCACACAACATTACCATTGTGGCTGTTGAAGGTTGCCATTCCTTTGTAATCCTTGACTGGGCAAAACCTCTGAAGGAAGAATTTGTAACAGGTAAAGACTAACAGCTCTATATTAATTTGCTTTGTATTTGTTCTTGTAAATGTAATATTTATTTCCCATCTCAAATTTCTTTGGTGTTATGGGTCAGCCATGTGGAGTAAGAATTAAGTCATACATGGCCTGGGTCACATGGTCATAGAGATATCTTTTACGAGGAAGATCACTATAACAACAGATTGCGTTTATACAAGTTTAGTCCCAAAGTGCTTCACAGGAGAAATCAGCCAAAAAATTGAAATTGGCCCAGATGACATACTAGGGCAGATAGCCAAAACTTTGGATAAATGGATTTGTTATCAGCATGTTAAAGAAAAAGAGAGTGATAGAGAGATCCACAGATGTAAGGATAGAATTTCAGAGCTTAGTGCTGAATTAACTTTCGATACTGCAGCCAACAGTGAGCAATTGAAATCAGAGGTGCACAAGACACCAGAATTTGAAGAGCACAGAAATTTTAATGGTTTATATAATTAGGAGATGCACACATTTGGGGAGCAGCAAGATCCTGGAGGTATTTGAATATGCAGAAAGAAATCATTTCTCCACCTAATCTTTCAAAATCCTAATTATTTACTAACTTCTCTGTCAAATCTCTTTCAAACATTTCTGATCTAAAGAACACAGTTCCATCTTTTCCAGTTACTCCGGATAACGGGCATTAACTTTCAACAGAACGTTTTGCTTTGTAGTTCCATACAAGTTTTCAACAGCCTCTACAATTTGTCTTGCCCCTTTCAAATACTACTTTGCTTCCAGCCTCAGATGTTTCTGCAGCCCTTTTAAATTGTCATTTAGTTAATATGACCTTTCATTCTTCTTATCAAAATCTACAACTTCACACTTCCTTTTGTTAAATCAGGGTGGAAAGTGACCTTGTGGTAGAGTCACTTGATGAGTAATCCAGAGTTTCAGACTAATTCTCTGGGACACAAACTTAATTTCCAACATGGCAACTGTCGACATTGTATTTCTATAAAATTTCAGTAGTAATGACCATAAAGCTATCATTGGTGAACTAGGTGAGGTTTTGCAGCAATATCCTTTAGGAAAGGAAAACCCCTAAACCTTGTCTAATCTGATCTGAGACTTCAGATCCATAGGTCACTTGTTGATTCTTAAGCTGTCCTCTGAGATGATCTAGTCGTAAACCATTCAGTTCAAGGGCTATTAGAGATGGCCTCTACAGCAATGCCCATGTTCCATCAAAAGATTTATTAATATCCTTGCTATCACAGAATTGTTACCTTGTGAGAGGAGGCTGTTTGGCCATTGGGCTTGCACCAGCTCTTCAAAGGAGCATTGCTACCTAGTGCCTACCTCCTTCTTTTTCCTCATACCCCAGTACACTATTTCTATCCAAGTAATCATCCAATGTCCTTTTGAATACCTTAACTGAACCTGCCTCCATCACAATTCCAGGCAGTTCATTCTAGAACTTAACTACTCTCTGTGTGGGGGAGAAAAATGTTCTCACATCACCCTTACTTCTTTGGAACTTTAAATCTATGCCCTCTCATTCTTCCTTTTATGACCAGGACATCATGTCCCTATCTATTCTATCCCACCTGCTCATGATTTTGAAAACCTCCAACAAATCTCCTCTCAGCTGCCTTCTCTTCAAGGAAAACAGTCCCAGCTTCTTCAAACTGTCCTCCATAACTGAAGTTTCTCATCTGTGGAACCATTTTTGTAAATTGCTTCTGCACTCTCTCCAATGTGTTCAATGCCTATAATGTGGCGCCCACATCTGTACTGCAGCTGAGGCCCAGCGAACAGCTTATACAAGTTCAACATGAACCTCATTGTTCTTGTACTCTATGCCCCTAGTAATAAAGCCAAGGACACAGTATGCTTTATTAACTGCTGTCATCACTTGTTCCTGCCACTGTCAATGATCTGTGCATATATAAACGCAGGTCCCTCTGCTCGTGCACCCCCTTTAGAAATGTACCCTCTACTTTATATTGTCTATCAAAGTTCTTCCTGCTAAAGTCCTCAAATCTGCTCCACCATCTATTACTCCAATAATTTAATAATTGCAGTTCTGATTGTAATCTTCAAAATCACATTTCTACCATTTGACAAGCTTCACCCCTTGCTTAACAATAATTTATCTGCTATGCCTTAAAAATATTCAAAGACTCTATTCTCGCCACCTTTTCAAGAAGAGAGTACCAAAGACACTCCACCCTCCATGAGAGAGAATTTCTTACTTTTGTCTTTAAATGGCCGACCCCCTTTTTTCTAGATGTTGATCTCCAGTTCCAGATTCTCCTATAAAAAGAAACATACTCTCTTCTACCATGTCAAGATGTGACCGTGCTGGTGTTGGACTGGGGTGAATGAAATCAGAAGTCACACGACACCAGGTTAGAGTCCAACAGGTTTATTTGTAATCACAAACTTTCGGAGCGTAGCCCCTTTGTTAGGTGAAGTGTGACAGAAAAGAGCACAGACCCAGAGTTTATAGGCAGAGAGATCAAAAGATCATACATAGTGTGAGTGGAGTATTGAATAATAAGTCTCTGCAAGTGACCAAATGTGTTAAATGGTGTGAGTAAAGTGTCAACAGCTGAATAACAAGCAAGCAGATGACCTATAATCCAAATAAATGAGGCAGAGCGATAATTATAAAAGATTAGAAATAAGGTGGTGCTGGAGACAAACTAAATGACTGGCATGACATGATAGGTATAAGAGTTACATGGCAAGGGTCTAAACAAAGTAATAAGTAATCCAAAACTGTAAAAACTAATTAAGGTAGAGCGATCATAACAATTTATCAAGGTAATGGTGTCAAAACAGGGCAGTAAGGAAGGTGTCACAGATACAGAACAGTATTGGGGGGTCACATGTAACGCAATATGAACCCAAGATCACGATGAGGTCATCTTCATGGGTACGGAACTTGGCTATCAGTTTTTGCTCAGAGATTTTGCGTTGTTGTGTATCTCGAAGTCCATCTTGGAGGATGCTTACCTGAAGATCAGAGGCTGAATGTCCTTGACTGCTGAAGTGTTCCTCGACTGGGAGGGAACATTCCCGTCTGCCGATATCTTCCTATCCTATCAGTCTTCCTATCGCTTTTAATCACATTTAATGATGTGGGTATCCCATCGGAAATCATAACAATTTTGGGGAAACTTACCCAGGATCTGGCTGTAACAGGACCAACACTTGCTTTAACTCTCTTCCTTCTTAAATATTAATAGAAACTCTTCTTCTTTCCTTTTATACTGCTAGCTAGTTTTCTCTCATGCTAGGGCAGCATAGTGGCTCAGTGGTTAGCACTGCTGCCTTACAGTGCCAAGGAGTTGGGTTCAGTTTCACCCTCAAGTGACTGTTTGGAGTTTGCACATTCTCCCTGTTTCTGCATGTGTCTCCTTCCACAGTCCAGAGATGTGCAGGTTGGGTGCATTGGCTGTGCTGAATTGCCCATAGTGTCCCAAAATGTGCAGGCGAGGTGGCTTAATCATGGGAACTGCAGGGATAGGGTAGGAGGTGAGAGATGACCTTCAGAGGGTCGGTGTGGACTCGATGAGCCAGATGGCCTGCTTCCACACTGTAGGGATTCTGTGATACTCGTTATTTTTCCTTCCTTATTAATTCATTGTAACTTTTTAGTTTTTAATATTCTGATGTACCACTTGTCTTTCCACAATTTGCACGCTTTTTATTTCAGTCTGATACTATCTATAACCTTTCTACTTAATCGATGATACATCCTTTGGAATTTTTGTGACTCGTTGGATGTATCTATTTGGTGTTCTGAAATACCCTCTGAAATATCTGCCACTGCACTTCTGTCAACCTATTCTTTAACCTGGTTTGCAAATACACTTTAGCCAACTCTGTTTTTATGCCCCTTGTACATACCCTTCTTTAAATAGAAAGCAAAAGTCCTGGACCACTTCTCCCTACTCCCTGTCTCAAACTGACTATAAAATTGAATCACATTATGGTGGCTGTTACCAGGCACTTTTAACTGAGAGTGTTAATTCATCCTACCTCATTGCACAATACCAAGTCTAGTATAGCCTACTGTCTGGTCAACTTCAAAACACATTATTCTAAGAGCTATCCTCCATCCCGAAAACATTCTATGACGCCTTGACTGGCTCCCTTATCCAACTGACTTTTCCAGGCCAAATGTTGATTAAAATATCTTATGGCTGTGCATTTCTGAAAAGCTCCCATTATTTCTTTCTTTATGTTCTACCTGACAATGTGATTACCGCTTGGGGCTAGTACATCGCTCCTGCAAGTAACTTCATAATTTCTCAACTCAACCCAAACCATCCTGGTTTCCTGAACTTGGTCATCTCCTCTCAAGCAGGTTTGCAGGATTTTGAGGAACTTATTCTGGTGATATTTCTCAAGGTTTTTGAAGATTCTGCTATACAGACTTTGCATGCAAGAGGGGCTGGTAACACTGCTGCCCTGTAAATCATGACTTTATTGTCAGGTTTGAGGTCTTTGTCATCAAACTCTATTCCTGAGATGACCAAAGTCTGTGCTGGCACTCTGGAGGCAATGGTGAATTTAATCATTGATGTCTGCTCTCACCATGAAGAGGCTCCCAAGGTATGCGAATTGATCTACATTGTCCAGCAGCTTGTCCTAAATCTTGATAGTTGGATGCAGTACAATGGGAGTAGGCTGGTAGATGATCTTTGACTTCAGATATTTAGCCTCAAACCTAGTCTCTCACAACCTTACCTGAATGCATCAATGATAATTTGGAACTTTGCCTCTAAATATGTACATATGCAAGCATTGTCTCTGAACTGCAGCTTGATGATCAGAGTGGTTCTGGATTGGTGGTGTTGCATGTTAAACAGTTTCCTGCTCATCTAATGGGTTAACTCCAAGCCAATGCAAAATTTCATGCATATGACGTGAAATGTTGCAGAAAAGAAGATTCAAAAGAGAATCAGCACAATTAAACACAGAGTCAGAGAGATCTGCAACCCATGAAGTCCACACTGGTCAAAAGCAGGAACCTAACTATTCTGATCCCATTTTCCAGCACTTGGCCCACAACCCTGTATACCTTAGTATCATTAGTGCACATCTTTATACTTGTTAACAGTTGTGAGGGTTTCTGCTCCTCCCACACTTACAGGCAGAGAATTCCAATCTCCCACCACTGTCTTGGTGAAAAAAGTTCCTCTCAATTGCTAGCCCTTCTGCCCTTACCTTAAATCTCTGCAAACGCAAATCTTCTGTTAACATTCTTCAACACAACAATAAAATTCACGTCAATTTCTTGCTGGCGTTGGTACAATACCCAATAATTCAGCCCTGTGCATCCCATGTGACAAAGCACTGGAATTTCGGCTTTCTACCCTGCAAATTAATGACAAAGACAAAGAAATAGAAAGCTTTCTACCCAGTCGCAAATAACATTAAATTAGGCATAATAAGTTATGCAGATGCAAAAAACAACTGACAAATGGATAAACTAAGTTGGAGGAAAAACCATGCTCATTAAAGTTCAAGGTAGCCATTCACTTTGGATCTGAAACAATCAGAATATTTTTATTCTAATGGGGGGTTTAGACTGTGGAATGTGTGTGTCTTAAAAGGATTTGATACTGGGGCAAATTTTTAACCTTTTAAAACAGATTTGGATCGTGTGGGGTTTTTGTGCTGAAATTGCCAATTCTGATTCTTATCCACAAATGAGCTGCAACCTCCATCCATGTTTCTGATCTCTTTCTCCCCCATAACTCTAGCCCCCTCAATAAAGGCCTCCGGTTTTCTGCAGGCTGTCACTTCCGCCCTGTCCCAGGTGTCTTCTCCCTTAGGCCTCCAAATGTATCACAATCCTGGGCTTAGTCCAGTAGCTGACCCACCAACTCCCCTACTTCCTCCAAAAACACCACATCCCTTAAAACCTCCAATAACCCTCATATATTTTTCTGACAGTGGACTCTATGACATTCCCTCCCCCTGTAGATTGCTCCCCTCCCCCCACGGCCCTAGTTGCCATTTTCCCGAGGCAACATGAACCAACTTGTCCTGCAGACTACATTGACCAACTCCACAAATGTAAGCCATTTTGGAATACTCAATATTGGAATATTCAATTCTGGTCTCCCTGCTACAGGAAAGATTTTGTGAAACTTGAAAAGGTTTAGAAAAATTTACAAGGATGTTGCCAGAGTTGGAGGGTTTCAGCTAGAGACTGAATAGGCTTGGGCCATTTTCCCTGGAGTATCGGAAGCTGAGAAGTGACCTTATAGAGGTTTCTAAAATCATAATGCAAATAGACAAAGTATTTTTCCTGGGAGTGGGGGAGGCCAAAAACAGAGGGCATAGGTTTAAAGTTAGAGAGGAAGGATTTAAAAGGGACCTAAGGGGCAACTTTTTCATGCAGAGTGTGATGCATGTATGGAATGAGCTGCCAGAGGAAGTGGTGGAGGCTGGTACAATTACAAAATTTAAAAGGCATCGGGATGGGTATATGAATAGGAAGTGTTTAGAGGGATATGGGCCAAATGCTGGCAAATGGGACTAGATTAATTTAGGATATCTGGTTGGCACAGACAAGTTAGACCGAAGGGTTTGTTTCTGTGCTGTACGTTTCTCTGACTGGAAGCAAAAATTGCCAATCAAACTAGTTTCAGTTTGAAGTGCTGAATAGTGGCATTATATGCACCTAGTGAAGTTCAAAGTCCACAGTATGCAGGGAATTCTGACTTCATAGAGCTATAGAATCCCTACAGTACAGATAGTCAATTTAGCCCATCCTGTCTGCACTGACCCTTTGAAGAGCAGCCCACTCCGATCCAGCCCCCACACTACCCCGTAACCCTGCATACCATGACTAAGGCACCTAGCTTGTATACAGAGCAATTTAGCATGATCTATCCATCTAACCTGTACATGTTTAAACTGTGGGAGGAAACCGGAGCACTGGCAGAAACCCGTGCATGCACAGGGAGAACGTGCAAACTCCACACAGACAGTCACCCAAGACTGGAATTGAACCCAGGTCCCTGGCACCGAGAGGAAGCAGTCATAACCACTGTGCTGCCTCTGGGTCCCTCAAAATTTATCAGCAGTCCCTGGCTCTAGCAAGTAAGGTACGTTAAAAATCTAGCATATTATTTTTCTCATTTGGGGGATCTCACATTAGGAAAGATTTTGTCAAGTTAAACAATGTCATTGGCAATGAAATCAAAAGTTTTTTAAAAGTAACTTAATCACATCACACTGCTAATCTGTAAAGAGCCCAAGGTGCTTCATTGGACTCTCTAGACACTCATCCACAAAGGGAGATATTGGGCTGGATTATATTTGTGAGGTGGATGGGCAATGTACACGCTACTTGGCCTGCCCTATTCCAACCTGCTACTACAAGAGTCAGCCAGCAGCTGTCGCACCTAAAAGAAGCCTACTTGCAGTGACTATCTGTGTATGGTCAGGTAAACGGGTAGATAATGGGAATTCCATCCATCATTGGGCAGGAGGTTCATGCCTTTGAGAAACGTTGGCCAATCAGATTAGCTGTTATCTCAGATGATCACTTCTGAGACTGCAAGCAAGTCCCTAGAAAAACTTCGATGTTTGCTGGGCCTCAGTAGATCACAGGTTTTTTGGCCAGGGTAAATCGGACAACCTAGAAAGGAGGCAAAATGTTGAGGGTGGGTTTTGGAGGACAATTAGAGGAATAATGGGGAGTGGAGAAGTCCCTTGGAGCAGGGGAATACTCCCAATGCGTATATCTTCATAGAACCCCTACAGTGTGGAAACAGTCCCTTCGGACCGTCAAGTCCACACCAAACCTCAGAGCGTCCCACCCAGACCCACCCTGCCAAACCCACCTAATCTACACATCCCTGAACACTATGGGCAATTTAGCATGACCAATCCACCTAGCATGCACATCTTTGGACTGTGGGAGGAAACCGGAGCACCTGGAGGAAACCCATGCAGACACGGGGAGAATGTGCAAACTCCACACAGACAGTTGCCCGAGGCTGGAACTGAAGCTGGGTCCCTGGCACTGGGAGGCAGCAGTGCTAACCACTGAGCCACCATGCTGCCCCGATATGCGTATGAAGGCATCCTTCTTCTTTCTTCCCGCCTCTTCATCTCTTGAGTTTAAAACAATGCTTGTCCATGCAAACTATCCAGACAAAGCAGCCCTCTTGATTGGCACTCCATCTAATATCTTCAACATGCAGTCCCTCCACCACTAATGCACATAATGGCAGCAGTGTGTACCATCTGCAAGATGCATCACAAGAACTCTTAAAGACATCTTTGGCGCAAACTTCTAAAGCCACAATCTCTACCATATAGAAGGACAAGGCCAACAAACAAATGGGAAAACCACCATCTGCAAGTTCTCTTCCAAGCCACACTCGATCCTGACCTGGAACCGTAAAAAGTAACACTGTCTCTGGGTCAAATTCCTGCAAGTACCTTCCTAACAACACTGTGGGTGTACCTATACTTGGTGGACTGCAGTAGTTGAAAATGACAGCTCACCATCTTCTGAAGGGCACTTGGGTTTGAAAAGTAAATGTTGGCCCTGTCAGCAATGCCCATGTTTCATAAATTAAAAATATGTTGATGATTTGGGCCATTTGGCTTGGTAGCAATCTCTGTTGACCAGTCGGGCTGTTTATTGCAATGTCCATCCACATACACATTATAGGGGACAACCCAGAGATGGTGGGTTAGTCACCACCTGTATTTTAGATACTCCAAACTAGAAACACACTCGCTGGAGTGGCAGGAGCTATTAAATCACGCACATTAAATCAGATGATAGGAAGTTTATAGAGGTAGTTCTTAAAGAGTGTCTTAAAGGGGAGAAGTGAGCTGGAGAGGTTTAGGGATGTTGATGCGATCCTCCACAACAACCCTTATGGATTGCAAAAGATTTCTTCATACATGAATGCTCATTCTGGAGGAAATGCAAAAAGAAATTTGAACCTCTAACTAAAAATAAATTTAAACTTCCGATCGCAAATGGAGAGTGAGGCTTTTGGAAGGAAATCTGTTTGAATTTACTTCTCTTCATTTCAATTGCAGGTTACCTTGTCTATAGTGCTTCTTATGATGATATCTTGCAGAATGAGTGGTCTACAAAATCTGAAGTTGCCAGCACGCACCTACCTATTGAAAATCTGAAGCCAAATACAAGGTAAATGAGACCATATCATGTAGCTAATTGAAAAATATTATTATCTACAGTTCTGATAACTTTTCCTTTTATATTAGACACAATCCTCAGTGGATGTTTGTATAGATTATTCTAACCAAGTGCTGGTTGTACTCTGCGCAAGCTTTCTGCTACTCTTTTTAACCTGACACTTATCTAATTTTACTCTTGGGCTGCGAGAGGATAAAATGTACACAATACTCAGGAGATTTTCTTTATTGTTCTCGGTACATGGGTGATGCCGGAAAGGCAACCAAGTCCTCGGTTAGCCTGGGTTGTCACTTTGAGTCATTGCAATACTTATGTGAAAGTTCTCCCACAATGGTGTTATATTTAGCAATTTCAAGTTTTATGCAAACGCACTGCATATCCTGATTCAATACTTGAGGTGTGATGAATAAGTTAAACAAATACTTTTCTCTGGATTTTTACAACTTGAGTAGCTTGTTATGCCATCTAAAACAGCACTGTTAGATTATATTTAGATTAGACCAGACAAATTAAAGATGGTTTTCTGAAGACTATTCTCCAAACTTGGCCTCCAGTCCAATTTCCAACATCGATACATTTTCAATGTATAGTACAGGGAGCATGTGGGAGCTTTTGGTCTGTTTGGTCTTAGTGGCACACTGTGCTTTATGGCATCAGGGAGCTTCTGGAAGTTCCTACTATTGTTGACATTAATATATTGATCTTTTAAGAAGTGCTTTCCCATTACATCAAGCAAAATTGTGTATAATACAGCTAATTTCCTCTAATTTTTGAGATGTACTATTGTTCCACAGGATTTGATGCAGATAGAATATATAATAACCATACAGAGGTTGGTATCCTGTCACCAAGTCACCTTTTACTTACACAAGCACAGTACATAGAGTCTGACTAGCTTGCTCATAGCCAGTCTCTAGAATGAGGAGACTCTCTAAATCTCTTGTTTAGATCTGTCAGCCAGGGACCCCTGATTGGCCCACTTGATCAACCCTAATCAGGGATCTCATACTGCAGAACATCCACCTGGCCCTCATTTCAATCATGACAGAATATACTTCTGAACAGCAATATCCTGAATTTGAAAGAAAGTTCTTCCATGCTGAGAGCAAAGTGAACAAAGTAAAGCTGTTGGTAGAGATGGGGGGAGTAGAATATAAGCAAAATGAACAAAGAACAAAGAAAATTACAGCACAGGAACAAGCCCTTCGGCCCTCGAAGCCTGCGCCGATCCAGAACTTCTATCTAAACCAGTTGCCTATTTTCCAAGGATCTGTATCCATCTGCTCCCTGCCCATTCATGTATCTGTCTAGATACATCTTAAATGACGCTATCGTGCCTGCCTCCACCACCTCTGCTGGCAACGCGTTCCAGGCACACACGACCCTCTGCATAAAGAACTTTCCACGCATATCTCACTTAAACTTTTCCCCTCTCACCTTGAAATCGTGATCCCTAGTAATTGAGTCCCCCACTCTGGGGAAAAAGCTTCTTGCTATCCACCCTGTCTATACTCTCATGATTTAGTAGACCTCAATCAGGTCCCCCCTCAACCTCCGTCTTTCTAATGTAAATAATCCTAATCTACTCAACCTCTCTTCATAGCTAGCACCCTCCATACCAGGCAACATCCTGGTGAACCTCCTCTGCACCCTCTCCAAAGCATCCACATCCTTTTGGTAATGTGGCAACCAGAACTATATGCAGTATTCCAAATGTGGTCGAACCAAAGTCCTATACAACTGTAACATGACCTGCCAACTCTTGTACTCAATACCCCGTCCGAAGAATGCCATATGCCTTCTTGACCACTCTATTGACCTGCGTTGCCACCTTCAAGGTACAGTGGACCTGAACACTCAGATCTCTCTCTGCATCGATTTTCCCCAGGGCTTTTCCATTTGCCGTATAGTTCGCTCTTGAATTGGATCTTCCAAAATGCATCACCTCGCATTTGCCTGGAATGAACTCCATCTGGCATTTCTCTGCCAACTCTCCAATCTATCTATATTCTGCTGCATTCTCCGACAGTCCCCTTCACTATCTGCTACTCCACCAATCTTCGTGTCATCTGCAAACTTGCTAATCAGACCAGCTATACCTTCCTCCAGAGCATTTATGTATATCACAAACAACAGTGGTCCCAACACGGATCCCTGTAGAACACCACTGATCACAGTTCTCCATTTTGAGAAACTCCCTTCCACTACAACTCTCTGTGCCCTGTTGCCCAGCCAGTTCTCTATCCATCTAGCTAGTACACCCTGGACCCCATGCGACTTCACTTTCTCCATCAGCCTACCATGGCGAACCTTATCAAACGCCTTACTGAAGTCCATGTACATGACATCCACAGCCCTTCCCTCATCTATCAACTTTGTCACTTCCTCAAAGAATTCTATCAAGTTGGTAAGACATGACCTTCCCTGCACAAAACCATGCTGCCTATCACTATTAAGCCCATTTTCTTCCAAATAAACAGATCCTATCCCTCAGTATCTTCTCCAGTAGCTTCCCCACCACTGATGTCAGGCTCACCGGTCTATAATTACCTGGATTATCCTTGCTACCCTTCTTAAACAAGGGGACAACATTAGCAATTCTCCAGTCCTCCGGGACCTCACCCATGCTCAAGGATGCCGCAAAGATATCTGTTAAGGCCCCAGCTATTTCCTCTTTCGCTTCCCTCAGTAACCTGGGATAGATCCTATCTGGACCTGGGGACTTGTCCACCCTAATGCCTTTTAGAATACCCAACACTTCCCCCCTCCTTATGCCGACTTGACGTAGAAATGGAGGACAGACATCATGCAGTCATACAGTCAGGCTGCTGCAATATTCTGATGAAGCACAATGCAAACTCGAAGAGCAACACCTCAGTTTCCACTTAGGCACTCAGTTTCTGCTTTACATCTCTCGGACTCAATATTGAATTCTGCAACTTTGCAAGCTGTCCATATTCTGTCTGTCCTCCACTTTTCTTAAATTCTCTCCCCCAATCTCTCCCTTCTCAACAGTCTTATTTGTCCCATCATTACTTTGCTCTCATCAAAGAGGACCTGTTTTCTCACTTTCACACCTTCATTCATACCTATTTACACCTCTTTCTCTCTTTCATCACAGTTAGCAACCGCTCTTACTTTTGCACTAGGCTTGCCCATCATTTTACCCACTTCTCCCTTTTTGTCAAAAGTATAAAATCCACCATTTCCACCATTTCTAGTTCTGAAGAATAGTAATATCTGATGTGAAATGTTAACTCAATTTCTCTCTCACAGATGTTACAAGACTTGCCAAGTTTCTCCAGCATTTTGTGTAATTGTTTCAGATGTTCAGCATCCAGTATTTTGCTTTCATATGTCAGTTTGTGTTGATTGGATGAACTTCATTTACAAAAGTACAAATGGAGAAAAGTGGAAGACAGACATCATGCAGTCAGTTCTCCCATTTTGGGCAGGTCGTGGCCTAGTGGTATTATCATACAGAAACTCAGTTCATGGTCTGGGGACCCAGGTTTGAATGATGGAACTTGAAACCTGGATTTAAGAATCTAATGATGACCATAAGAACCACTGCTGATGTTCAGAAAAACCCATCTGATTCATCAATGTCCATTGCCATCTGCACTTGACTAATATGTGACTCCAGACCCACAGCAGTGTACAAAAACAGAAGTTGCTGGTAAAGCTCAGCAGGTCTGGCAGCATCTGTGAAGGAAAAGTCAAGAGTTAACATTCCAGGTCCGGTGATGCTTACTCAGAACTGATGGTAGCTAGGAAAATATTGGCTTGTATGCAGAAGATAGAGAGGGGGATGGGGTAGGGAGTGAACAATAGGATAAAGGGTAGAGCCCAAAAACAGAGAAGAGCAGTTGGATAGACAAAAGAGTTGATAATGATCTCCCAGGAGGGTGAATAGCTGTTAATAGGCACAGTTACTGACTGACAATAGGTAGTGTGTAATTGCAGGCTATGTGATAACAGGGCCTGATTTGAGGGGAAGGGGGTTAGGACATGGGAGAGTTTAGGCCCTAAAATTATTGAACTGGATATTGAGTCCAGGGTTGCAGGGTCCCCAAGCAGATAATGAGGTGTTGTTCTTCCAGCTTCTGCTGAGCGTCGCTGGAACACCGCAACAAACCTGAGACAGAGATGTTGGCTAAAGAACAGGATGGTATGTTAAAGTGGCAGGCAACTGGAAGCTCAGGGTCTTTTTTTGCGAGCAGAATGTAGATGTTTTGCAAATTAGTCACCCAGTCTCTGCTTTGTTTCCCCAATGTGGAGGAGACCACATCGTGAGTAGCAAATGCAGTAGACTAGATTCTGGGAAGTGCAGGTAAAGTGTTGCAGGGGAAGGTGCCATGGGGCTGTGGGGAGGTGTTGGGATGAAGGAAAAGTGGACCAGGGTGTCCCGGAGAAAATGGTCCCTGTGGAAGGTAGACAAGGGAGGGGAGGGGAATATGTGTCTGGTGGTGGCATCTCACTGGAGGTTGCAGAAACAGCGTCTGATGATCTTCTGGATATGGATGCTGTTGGGACGGTGGGTAAGGACAAGGGGAACCCTATGGCTGTTGTGGGAGGAAAGAGAGGGGGTGAAAGTGGAAGTGCAGGAGATGGTCGGACCCGGTTGAGGGTTGTGTCAACAATGGTGCTGGGGAATCCTCTGTTGCGGAAGAAGGTGGACATTTCGGAGGCTCCCTTGTCAAAGTTGGCCTCAGCAATGTAGTTGACTCTCAACTGCCCTCTAATATGGGCTAGCAAGCCACTCATTTGTATCAATCACTACAAAACTTCAACAAAGACATGAAAGCAGACTGACCACCTGGCACCAGAAATTGGCAGAAACAACCCTGTTGACCCTGCTAAGTCCTTGTTACTAACATCTGGGGGCCAGTGCCATTAGGAGAGCTGCCTCATAGACTAATCAAGCAATAGACTCATGTAGTCATACTCAGGAAATCATGTCCCAGACACCACCATCACTACCCTTCATA